CCCGATATAGCAGCACCCCTACCTTGCATAAAGGAGAGTAGCAGGAAAGAGGAGTAGAATATAATTGTTTCTTAGCCAAAACAGGAGACTTGTCAGCTGCACACATCCTCAGCAAGTCAGCATCTGAAATCCCCCATTTAAAAGGGTTAGATTCATACCTCCTACGCCTCATTATCTCAACTAACCCTACATGCAAAGAGGAATTGGGACATTACAACCATAAAAATTTGGGGGTATTGCTGAAATGTAGGGCTAGGGGGTATGTTGGGAGAGAGCCACAAAGCAAAGGTTGCACACTCCTGATCTACAGTCAAAAACTGTAATTCCATCTTATTAAAGCTGAAGTCCAAAGCTAACTTTTATTACTAAATAACTGTTAAAGTACATAGTCATACAAAATTTTTCCAAGGAACAAATCATTAATGGTATCCTTTGCCATTGCAGCTCATCATAAGTGATTAATTTGTTAATTTATTGCTGTAAAAAAAAAACTGCAGCTCTTATATTCAATTTGTTGTGTGTTTTTTTTAATACAAGGGCAAAGACCAGTGCTACAGGGGCCTGGACCCCTTTGAACCCTGTTTAGAACCGCCCTTGTTGCAGATATTGCTTTCTAGTCTAACAAAAATAGCTAAATATATAAAAACATAGTTCTACAAATAATATTCTCAATGTTTAACAACTTGAACCTAAATGTTTGTTAATGTTCTTACAGAAGGAAAACATTGCCTGCAAGACTGTACCCAGGGTAAAAAACCCTTCGCTCTGGTTGCTGCGAATTTAGGCGCTCCAAAAACAATGAGCCGCTTTGCTTTTTATTTCCTTTTTCTCTTCTTGTCGGTAAAAAGCCCGAGTGTGATTTTATTCATCTGCTTTGCCATTTATGTTTACGTTCATTACAGGACGCGATAGAGATAGAAAAAAGCAGCGTGGCTGAATGAGATCAGAACTATGGGGATGATGTAGGCGGTTTCTCTCATCAGCCGCTCATCTGTTTACATACACGTCAAAGGCCTGTCGTCCTTGTCTCTACGGCTTTTAAATGGCGTAAAATCAAAGTGATGGACTGTGCTGTTCCCATCCCGGAGGACGACACCAGAAAACCAGGTCAGACGGGGGTGGTACCTTACCGGGCAGCGATAAGAGCCATTGGATGGTTGATAAGAGATCCTAATAAAGCAGAGAAACTCTGCTGTTCGCTACAGTCCATCCTAACCTCACACAGACAGGTGAGATATCTACTTATTTATAATGTAATTATTTATTTTGCTTTGACAAATAAAACGCTATGGATGTATAGCTATTTTATTCTAGAGAAGCTTTATGCAATTACGTAATAATTAAGTGATGTTTTTTATTTATCAGGAATCTTTGTTTAATCTTGACTTAATTTATACAATAATAATGCCCCACAGAGAGCGGATAATTTACTTATAGAAGCTAATTTGATTTTAATATATACAACTGCTGGATTAATTATTGTGTGCGTCTTAAAAATGTATAATTGTAGCCATTATGATCATAGGAGCTAGATGGGGGGCCATGGCCACCCTTAGCCAATCATCAATCCCCTACCATTTTTCCCCCTTTAATACAGATGGTGTCAGCAGTAATACTCTCAAGTGAAATATTCAAAACATTTTATTGTTTTTGTGGTTAATTATACACATCAATACTGTATACTAATATCAAAGATGATAAGTACAGAATTCATGCTCTTTTCAGTATTAGATTTTGTCTTATATGGGGTAAAGAGAAAATTATGTGTCTCTGCAAGTCATCAAGGAGTCTTCAGTGAAATCAAAGATAAATAACAATTTTTATAAACACTTATCAAATAATTTATTTTTGTAGATATTAGTGCTTGTAAATATACATTTTATGCAGAATGTTTATTGATACAAGTAGGTAAGTAATGACAAAGGAAAAGATTTACACCCAGGAACTCAAAATTTAGTTTTATCCACTATACCTTTTATCTAGAAATTACGGATGTTTAAATATATAGAATATATGCATCTATTTATTAGCAAAGGCTGCAGGAAAGTATAGTTTGTCTTTAGTTTGAAAATATGGATGTTTTGCTCGTTAATTTTCCTGTTGGAACAGTGTAGATTGACCCTGAGGTTCTGGTGCCTATCCGCTTTCGGCCATCCCTCAGTGTACATTGGTTATTGCCTGGCCACCCTACGTCTCTGAGAGAAACATCCTATATATTTTTCCCTGCGAGACTTGATCTAGTGCAGACAAATGCACAAAAAAGAAAAGAAATACAACTTTTTTTAAGAACCATAATTTTATTATATCATAGAAAAAGACATGATCCAAAAACAGATGATTTAAAAAAAAACTTGAATCTCTTGTGAGAAAAAAAAAAACGGTACCCCAAATATTCCCTTTAAATAAATGTTGCTTACTTTAAACTTTATTTTGATGTTAATGATAGTTTATTGGGACCTCTAAATAGTAATCCACGAGTCCTTTTCAAAAGGCAAAATATAGATGACATAGATCAAGGCCCATTTCTTTTAACCACTGGTCCAAATAGGACCATTTGGAAATTATGGCTTGTTATGGCTTGCCTTCTAAGAACCAATCAAAATTTATGAAAAAAAAAAAAAAAATCCTCTCCAGTATGGGATGCTTAGATTGGCAGCAGATAGTTTGCAACGCTTCAACACAAATTCAGAGAGAAATACTCTTCCTTGGTGCTTCAATCTCAATAAGTGAATTTTGCTAAACTTTACTTGCACATCAACACTTCGTCGTCCAAGTTACCATCTTTGCTAACTTGGACATAAAAACCATTGTGCAGAAAAATGGCCAAAATCATGAGATCAGATTTGCTCTGCAGGGTCTGCAAGGTCTACCTCTGTCATAAAGATGATTCTATTACTTATTAAAGTTATTAAACTAACAAAAATAGTTACACATAATACTAATAAAAATATCAATAAATCAAGTTTCAATATCAGCAGATTCTCTAATGGTTATGTTTCTTTCTTTGCACAAGCGTTTTTCCAAAAATGTATTATAAGAGCACCATATTAGGGCTAGTGATTATTTTTGATAATTAAATTGACTTTTTTTCTATCATTACAAAAGTGCTAGTCTTGTTCTGTACTCCAATAACACTCTTGAGTTAGAATTTTAAATTATGGGTTAACAAAGGACAACTGATTAATATGGTGAAGTATATGTGATGCTGTTTGCATGTTAGTCTTCTAATGCTTCTGTTATAAGATATCAGCATTACAGCAGTTAAGTAAAAATAGGTCAACCTTAGGTCTATCAGTAGGATAGGAAACCTCATTTTAAATCAGAAATGATTAGGATGCAATCATCCTTATATAATAATCTCAGTCCTCACACCTAAATCTGGAATAATTCAATAATAACAATTGCATTCAAATCAGAGTCACCATTAAAACAAAGATTTACAAATTGTAAGAATATTACTAATATTCTTGTTTCTAATATTAATTTTACAAAAATCAAATTGCCATTTGTCTTAGGCAGTTTAGACTATCTTTGTAATGATTATAATTGTTTATGTTTGTGTTTATTTCCGGGTTTTTATTATCACAAGCTGTTGACCTACATGCTATTTTTAACTCATGGTCAAAAATGTTAACCTTGTACTGTTTTCTTTTCTAATAACATTTTTTTCTTCCCCCTTTCTGCATCCCCCACAGTTCTTCTTTGATTTACCCTTCTTTGCATCCAAATGGGTCTCATCCTTTCTACCTGGCCGAGGGGCCGAGTAGATGACGATGTCCCCCCATCTACAACAGTTTTCCCTCTGCTGGCTGTACCGACCTCATCCAGACTCACACTCACTCTGAGCTCCTCTGCAGTGTCTGCAGGAGACAGACGCTCACAGTGGAGCTCGCAGCACTGCTCACCGCACTTCCACCTTTCTCCCTGCAGGCAGAAAGCAACTCGCTCACCTGTTGAGCTCAGCAGTGATGCAGTCAGAGCTGAGATTGGAGTGAAAGGTGGGCTCCATGTTTGGGAGGTATCTTGGAACCCTGATCACAGAGGAAGTCATGCGGTCATAGGAATTTCGAAGCAGGACTCTCCTCTGCATGGCTCAGGTTATAAAGTACTGATAGGTGGAGATTCCCTGTCATGGGGATGGGAACTAAAAACCAATCAGCTGTGGCATGGTGGAAAACCTTTGGATTGTTATCCATGTGAAAAAAAGATGTTACACTCTCAGGCTACAGAAGACTTTGGACGCAAATCCTCAAACTCACGGCACAGGAAAGAGCCAGAAACACCTTTAGTTATTCCTGAGCGTGTCCAACTGGTCCTGGATGCTGATGCCGGGACTCTGGGATTTGCTGTCAATGGAAGTTTCCTTGGTGTTGCATTTAGGGACCTTCCTGCAGGAGTGGAACTGTTCCCGGCAGTAAGCAGCGTTAGGGGTGGAGCAAGGATTGAATTACGCTATCTGAATGGGACCACACGTAAGTGCAGCTAGCATGAATTAATTTGATATACAGAGTCTAATACTAACATATTTGATGCTTCTAAATTTGCAGGTAACCCTCCTGCCCTGATGGCTCTTTGTGGACTATCAATTATTCAGAATTTAGGGGAACAAAGGTTGAACCAAGTGGACAAACTGCCTCTTCCACCTTTACTCCACCGTTACCTGCTTTTTTGTTTCTAATTCCATTGCACATTCACATGCAATTAATAATTAAATAATTATTAAATACATTTTGGGTAAAGGCCCCATACGAGCCCTATAGGGACTCACTCCCTCAGCTGCAAATAATAATGTAATAAATTTAAATGCAAGTTTTGATTAACCAACCTTTAATATAGAAATATTTTTTCATCACCTTAGATCTATCTTTTATATTAGGATTTTTTTCTATTTATTTTTTTTTTTTTTTATGATAGAGCTTCAGAACAAAACACAGATTCTAACAGCCGCTGCTGCTATAAGGCAGACACTGCAACATTCTGTTAGGGTGAAGAGAGTGCCGAGCCAAAAGGCAAAGCTCTCAATTTAGCAGTCGGTCTATCTAACTACCATTACCTATAGTCAAGGAATCTGGGCCATGACTGAAAGAATGAGATCCTACGTACAAGAGGCTGAAATGCTAGGATGACGATCTCAGCCTGAGGAGAGGCTTGGAGTAGAGCTGCTTCTCCTTTACATCAAGACGAGTCAGCTGAGGTGTATCGGACATCTGCTCCAGATGCCATCTGGATGCCTCTGGATGTGTTCCAGGCATGTCCCAGCTGGAGGATGTCCAGTGGATGAGGCAAGAGACTCTGGAGGGACTTCAGACAGTCTGCAAAGATTTTTAAATCTATCAATTGTTGAAATGGACTTGAATAAAATGAATTAAAAAAAGAAAATACTGGTAATCTTCAATCTAGTGCTTTGGTTGTGGTACATTTGTGTCCTGTAAATACAAATTTTTCAGTCAAAATAAAGAGAAAGAAATTGTAAAACTGTTTTTGATTGATCATTGTACCTCATATCATGATGATTCAAGTGGAAAATAAGTCATTTATTTTTCCCTCATTCTTTTTTTTTTTTTTTTTTATCTGTTTCAATGATTTTGACATCAGATTTTGCCATAGGGTGATGAAGCATTTTGGCCCACATGCAGAGAGATTCTCATAAGACTAGAACCAGTTTGATCAAGGTTTTTTTTAATTAAGAAGTTTTGTGGGTGGTTCACAAGATGGAGAGTGCTCTCTGTAAGGAGAATATAAGTTAGATAATAGTTTGAGATTGTGAATATTACACATTATTGACAGATTTGACCTTTAATCTTAGTCCAGTTGGGAGGCTTCTCCGGTGGAGTAAGATTCACACAGCCTGACAGGCAGATAATGGAGAATGAGGCAGGTTCTGGTTTAGATGATGGGAAAACAAAATGGAATGCAGCAATAGCTGTATGAGAGAGAGAAAGGTCTTGATATAATAGAAGGAGCTTTCTTGCTACAAAAGAGGGAAACACAGAGATGATAAAAAAAACATGCAAACACTGAGGAAAAAACACTCAGATGTTGAGACAGCTAGAGGTACTACTTTGGTAACACTCAAGCGAGGAATGATGCATTTATTCACCTCAGCAGGTGATCCAGATAACCAGGATCAGGCGTGCTGCACTAATCAGCTAAGGAAAGCCCTTTATATAGCTGTAGCACAAAAAATAAATAAAAATCACACACACTCACAAACCATGACATATTGAGATTTTGTCAAACTGTGATTCTTGTACTTTGACCCAAAATGCGAAATAGGACCTCGATGAATTGAATAATTTAATGGAAAATCCAAAAACTTGTAGCTAAAGTACAGTAAAAAAAACAAAACAAACAAAAAAGAAAACATGGAAGCATAAGAAGGAAAGACATGAATATGAGGATATCAGGGCCTAAATAGAAGGAGAAACAGGTGGGCAGCATGAGTGCGCTGAGCAGGCAACAAGAAGACTGACTTTGTTGATCAGCTGGTGGCTATGAGGGAAGGTAAAAAACTAAATAAACAAGAATGGAGCTAAACAGAGATACAGTGAAAAACTGCAAAACATGATGTAAACACAGAGACATAAAACTATAAAGGACATAGGAAAAATAAAATAAACTTAAAGGCGAACTTTATAAGCAAAAACCCTAAACAATAATAAACAATAGGTTCTGAAGTTGCAATGGAGGGCTTGACTTAAATAAATGCACCTAGCATTGAAAATAGTAAAAAGAAAAGTCCCAAATATGGATAACAAATTTCCTCCTAAGAAAAATTATCCCTAATGTAAGCAAAATGTATAGCGAAGCATGTCTGATTAGCATAGAAAAATCTAGTGCATGGTCTACCACCCAAAATATTTTATATGTAGAACTTTAGCTTACAATAAGGAGTTTGTTTCTTTTAAAGCATATTATATTTTAAATCATATGTTTTCTTAGAAAGCAGTCTACCCATTTGGTCATAACCTCAATACATATATGAATAAATTATGTTTCTAAATATTTATTTAATCATAAGTAAGCATCGTTGTTAAGATTAAACATTCTGTACATTTAGTTTGTAAATTTGCTGAAAACAGCAGCACTAACTGCTCTAAAACTAACAAACCGTTTTCCGGTAGGGGATGACGTGACGTCGTTGCCATGGCAATAAAATTAGCAAAGCTTTAGCAGAGAACTGCGCACAGTAAACTCGGGTTATCACAAATAAAAACTTCGTTCTTAAAGAAATAATACATTAGGAAGATTATAAGTTGGCAGTTCTATTACTTAAGGATCCAATTAGGTACGTAAGTAAACTTCGTGTGTGGAAAAAATTAAAATTTGTCCAAGTTAAAATAAGCTAGCTTATGTCTTAATATATATTATGGCTTAATATATTCATAGGCGTTGGCTCTTAATTGATAGTTAAATAGAGGCTATTTTGAAGATTTTTCTTCTTTATTGTCACAGAATGAAATTAATAAAAGTTTACAAACTCCTTTAATGTAATAGCGGGCAGGTCTGGTTGTCTATTTCATAACTAAAATTGACTTTCAAAATGGCTTTAAAATAACCCCTTTTTTTATTAATTGTTTTCATAGATCAAATAGTGTTTGAAAAAAATTTATTTAGTGCTAAATAATCAAACAGATTATAGACAATAGACAACAATAGACAGCAGTCATATAAAGTTGGGATAGTAGACAGCTTCAATTGAATATTTAGAGAATACATTTTTCATTATTATAGGGTAGCACCAGTTGTTTTTTTCTTTATGTTGTCTGGAAGGCAGGTTGTCTTAGATTCAGTGCTAAACTGGAGATGGGAAGTACATTTTTAAACTTCATCTCAAAACCTGGAGGTCTTAAACATTAAGAAAACCTGAAATGTCATTATCAGTTTATCAAATTTCCATACAACCACAAACCTATTAGTGTTCACTGTGAATAACCGACACAAAGTTTTGCACCATGGTAATGTAGGAAACGTGTTTAAAGCTGCATATGATTAAAACTAGCATATAAATTATAATGTCAGATGCAGCCTTTCTTAACAGACAGATGGCTGTTGCTCTAGAGGATCCAAGAGGAAGCCTAGTTTTAGGGGCCCCTGAAAGGAATGTAGATGAAGAGGAGGAAGATGACACATCTACAGTAAGACAGACCTATTTACTAGTAGAATTGTGAATCCACAATAGCAGACTAAATACTATGTTTTTTTTACAATGTCTTTCTAGGTTTTATTGAGTGTTTTAGTACAGCGGGGACAGTTAGGGCTCTGTTTCTATGACAGTGAAGATTCCTCTTTACACTATATGGTAGATACTCCTGATAATCAAAAGCTTCACCTGTTGTCAAGAGGTAAAGAAAAAAAAGTTCTATTTTACAAGAAAACAGCTTTCAATGTTTTACCGTTAAATATACAGTGTTCTTCTCGCATAACATCTCTTTGTGTTGTTAAGTCATTCAGGAGGTCAGGCCCCATGTAATCATAACCAGTGCAAAACAAGAAGGCTGCTTGACCCAGTTTTTGCAGAAACTTGGTGAGCTCTGAAAAAAACGTCTCTTATACTAGATAACGAGTGGAAAAACAAAAAAATGTTAACTATTTTGTTTGGATGTGATGTAGGACAAGTTGTTTCTGGGTCAAGGGAACTTAAAGAGATTAGAGATGTTTGACACTGTAGCTGGTTGAATGTGATAAGGGGAAGACTGATTGTAAAGGTGGTTATACCCTGTTTTTTTTTCCAGCTTTACCAAACAGCATTACATGAAACTCATCTTTTGGGTTTCAGGTTCCAACCCTCACTACAAACCCGAGGTGGTGACGTATCCATATGTTGACTTTGGTAATACAAAAATTTGTACCTCTTCTTCAGTTTTCAGGCTAAATATCTGAGAGAAAATACTTTTTAAAAAGCTGTAGATCATGGTTGAATGCTGCAGGTCTGGAGGTCGGTAAGCAGAGGCTTCTCTCCGCCTATCTGCCGTTCCTTCCGGCTTGCACTTCAGAGAGGGACAAACTGTCTTACCTCTCCTCCTGTATCACCTTTGACTCACCCTTGATGGTGAGCCAGATCTCTTTATAATTTCATAACCTTGTAGTCCAGCTATGTCCACCATTTGCCAGCCTTTGAAAGGTTCTGCACTTCCGTTGGTTAGCTCCGGGCAGTGGGAGCTCTGCTGAAATGTCTGGACAGGAGGAGAGTGGGAGTAGAACTGGAAGACAGCACTATTGGAGTTCCAATCCTTCATTTTCATGCCTACACACTGTGAGACCCACTAACATGTCCTTCATCACACTCACATGCACTGTAGTGTGGGTATTTGTTCCACAATATGGCCCTCTAGGCTGCGTTTGGAGGCTTCTGTTCAGTTGCTTCTTTGTCAATTTGTACCTGCATTTCATTCCTGTTAGCATTTTTTACCTGCAAAAAGAAAAACAGTCTATTTTAATATACTTACTAATTTATCGCTTGTTTTTTGTCTTAATAGTTTAGGATTTTGATAAATGGCAGAGATAAAAGAAAATGTAGAACTTCTCAGTTCAAAAGCATAATTCACCATTAAAGATCATTTTATATTCTACCCAATTCAACTGATTGTGGTTTCCATCTCTTTGGTTTTCTTTAGTACGTTTTGAGAGACTTATACTTTTGATCAAACAAAAATAACTGAGCAACCTCCACATGGTAAAATTTACTGAATAAAGTCATGTAATCACATTTCCATACATTGGACTTCTAGGGATTAAAATATTTTTATGAATGAAAAAATATGACAGTTTCAAAACCTTGCTTTTTCTCATTATAGTAAAGGAGTGGTTTACATTGACAGAGATACTTACAGGCAAGTATTTAAAACATGTTACTTTGATTTTACTCTGTTATTCTGTCCTTCTAATGGTTTTCAGGTTTCTTTTCTCCCACTTAAACACACATGTAAAGGTAGTCAGTTTGCTCTTATGTTACTGAGGCTCTGCGGTCACTTGATAATGGTTGATTATTTGTTGTTTACCTCAAATAGTTTTATATACAAATTATTTTAAATATAAGCATGTACAATTTTAGATCTTAATAGCAAAAAGCAAATAAAAAGTCTGTTTTTCTATGTTTTCTTTGTTTCTTGCATTTTTATTTTTATTTTAGTGTGTGCTTTATAAAGTAAAATCACTTTTCTATAAGTCAATAGTTAGGAGAATAAATCAGTTCTGTTATTTTTAGTCTTTTTATGTGAAGACAGTGTGCTTTTAATTCTTCTAGTGTGCTTCAGATCTTTAAATCAGATCTACATCCATCAGTGTACAAACTGCAGTCCGGTGAAAAGGAAGGACTGAGCCTCTATGGTATGCAGCCTAGATATTAGAAGTTTTTCTCTTTATTTAAATGTATTAATGTAAAATACACATTTTTTCTTTGCATTACAGGAATATTAAACCGATGTAGAAGCAGGTTTGGATCTAAACTGCTACGGTCAGAAACAGTGACAGAAATTTTTACAAATTTAATTTGCTAATGATTATTTTTATTTGTGTGTATTGCTGTGCGGAGAAATCTTTTTTTTTTTCTTGCTTTTGTCCGACAGTCAGTGGTTTATGCGACCTACTCAAGACCTTGCGGTGCTACACAGAAGACAGGAAGTGATTTGTTTTTTCACTTCACCTCGAAACTCGGATGTCCTGAACACGCTGCAGGCCTCATTGAGGAACATCCGAAACATACCCGTAACTGACTTTGGATCCATCCACATTAAGCGCTCTTTAGTAGTATTCAACCCAACTGCACTTTTTCATATTTTAGCATTACGACAAAAAAACACTTCTTTATTCAGATTGAATGTGAACGATTAACAGAAAGTAGAGCATGTGTGTTTTGCAAAGAAATGATTCATGGTGTTTAAATTTCTTGGCAAATTAGAAACTTGAAATGTTGGCATCCATTTGTTTTCAGATCCTTTTACTCTAAAACTCTTAGATAAAATCCAGTGCAACCAACTAGCTTTAGGTTTTGGCTAATCAGTAAATCATTTGCTTTGATTTTGATCTAATTTGGAATCCGCGCTGCCTTAGAGATTTTTGTAAGAAAAATGTTATAGAATGAAAGAGGAACACACAAGATAGGTTGTTGTGAAGTGTATGAGAAGCATTGAAAATTAAGGGCCTAGATGCAAAACTGTATGTGGGGTAAAGAAAACTACCATAAAGTGTAACCCTGCTGACGCCGTACTGCTGGTATGTGCCAACCTGGGTGGCAGAATTATGTTGTAGGAAAGGTCAAAGATTGAAAAAGGTTCCCTGCTAGAATGACACTGATCCTAAACATAGATCCACAGTCATACCAGAAGTATTTATGTCTTGGAATATTCATGTATTAGAATGAGCCAGTAAAAGTCCACACCTGAAGACATTTTAGAATCTAGTTTTATACCTGATGGTCACAGATGCTCCCCATACACTCAGACTGAGCTTTGGCTATTTATGTGGAAAACATACCGAGACAAAACCCCAAAGGACTTGCAGCTGTGAAGGTGTTTCCACAATTATTCACTTAGTGGAACTGGATAAAGCTATTCACAACAAATTCTCAGAGAAAGAAAAATAAAAAAAAATCAGATTGGAGTTTGTGGTAATAAAAAAAACTAATTGTGAAAATGGCTCAAGAGTCATGCAGAATTTTGTTAGGCAGGATTAAAATGTCTTTAAACAACAAAGATGTTCCTGTCTGCATGCTAGGGTCTCCTCCGCCGCATGACTCACTCTAACACCAAAGTTACTGACTGGCAGCATCTCTACAAGGTCCGACCAAGTCAGCACTGGTGATGTTTCTTTATTATTGGATGTACTGTATATTCTTAAGCATATTTTTATGATTCTCTTTCTATCTCAGACTGTATACAGTGCTGCGTGTATCAGGGATTCTGTGCGGCATCTCCCTCAATCCATTCAGCTCTTTCGGGAGATCAGTGAAAAGCTCTCTGATGATCTTAACTACATTGCCGCTCTTTTAAAACGAGTTGTGAGTTCTTCCACACAGGACTTAGATCTTCTGGATTCAGTCATACGTAGGGAGTCAGACAGAGTTGATTTCAGAGAATTGGATCTTATTTTTTTTAGGTGGATTTTGATGCTAGCTTGGAAGAGAACCGCTTCACTGTCAAACCAAACGTCGATTCTGCCATTGATGAGAGTATGAAGAAATACCCATTTAGATCTGCTCTGTTGTGATCTCAGGGGCCTTCATGCAGTAGTCTTTGCTTTTCCTTTTTCAGAGAAAAGGAGGATGATGGGGCTGTCGGACTTCTTGACGGATGTTGCCAGAAGAGAACTAGAACAACTGGACTCTCGAATATCCTCCTGTTGTGTCATTTACATTCCCCTGGTCAGTGACTTAATCAAATTGAAGATTTTTTCAGCTCATATTTTCCCCTGTTAACCCTATCTGACTTTAATGATCCTTATTATAAAAACTGATAATACATAAAGTTAAACATTTCCTTACAGATTGGATTTCTGCTCTCTGTCCCCCGGCTGCCCAGCATGGTGGAAAAAGAGGACTTTGAAATGGAAGGGCTTGAGTTTATGGTGTGTCTTTGTGTCCTCAAATGATTTCTGTATTAACATAACTGTTAACATCATCTTTGACTTATGTGATTGGATATTCGGACAAAGCAGTTTCTCTCAGAGGACCGGCTCCACTACCGCAGTCAAAGAACCAGAGAGCTGGACAACCTGCTTGGAGACTTACACTGTGACATTAGAGGTATTTCAGTTTCCATCACTAAACAATCTTCTGAAATGCAGCTACATAGGAAACGTATCCTGAAGGTAAATATTGTGTTCATCAGACATGGAGACTGTAGTGATGACACAGTTACAAAATGCAGTCCTGGAGAGGAGCGGCTCTCTGCATCAGGTTGGATCAGGTGTTCTCTAAAGAAAATGATGATATGATTGTTGTTAATGTGTGTGGGTGGACTTTGTTGTTATAATATAATAGTTTTATCTCATTCACTTTATATATAAAACAGGTCTGGACTCTGTGACCGATTCTCTGGTGATATAATTCTATCACTAGAACATTGCAATTATCTGAAGGGAAGGTTTAGGATCAGATGATGCTTGTTTTTGTTAGATTTTTAATGATGAAAAATTTTATACAGAATTGTTTCGGTTTAGTCATTTTGAAAACACTCTAAAAGCTCTAAGAGGAATTCATGAAAGATGTGCTAGCTGCATACAAATCACAGATCTCAGTTAATGCTCAACAAGTGTAACAGATGCCAGAGTTTGGAGCAGCTGTGTTGTAGCTCACAGTTGTCCGTTTCCCCAGCTGCAAACACAGCAGGTGTGGAAATTTTCATTAAGGAAAAATAATTTCTTACTGGAAGCTCCAGGTGCTTATAACTTTAGGAGCAAAACCTGAGTGTCAGGGAAAGTGTCTTGATGAGGATGTTTTCTAATGCACCACTGCAGATTATTAAAAGTGTATTTCCTGAACTGATTCACTTAAATATGCAAGGCAATGGTTGCATTTAAAAGTGTTTTTGAATAACGTTTACATCTAGTCTATGCAACTAAGGATTATTTGGATACATTATTAATCTGTTGAGTATTTTGTATTAATTGTTTGACAATTAGATAGTAATACATGCTTTACAATAGATTTTTCTTATAGAATTTGAAGCAGTTGATCCTGACAAAGAAGGTTTTTCATCTTAAATGCAAATATAGGTATGCTTTGCATAGATTTAGCTTCATTTCCGTTCTTAATTGGTGATTTTGTTACATTGCCCTAGAGCCGCTGCAGCATTGTATTATGCTGCTTTTGGAAATTAGGCTCTTATTAAGGAGGACTGAACAAAATCCAGCATTACTTCACCATAACACAAAAATATTTTTTTGCAGCTTAGAAACCAGTATTTGCTGTCACTGTGCAGATTAGATGCTGAAAAAGCCACTTTGTCTCAACTTTATGCTTATATATCCTCACATCACCGTCTGCTGATTGAACAAAGTAGGTTACTCAGTCATGCTTCAATCAAGATAAATACGTTTCTGTGGGATGTTGATAAAATAATAACATTATACTAGTTAAAAGCTCCAAAAGTTGATTTTGTGTGATGTAGGTAATTTGATCTCCTGTTAAGTTACCAGGTTGAAAAACTCTAAATAAAAAGACATCTTAGCCATCAGATCTGTCTGTTTTGTGGTTAGGGAAAGAATAGAATTTTTTTTTTTCTTTATGAAGCCAAAACATTCACTGTAACAAATGTGTAGGTTCTGGATCTGATGGCTGAGCTGGACTGTCTGATGGCCATGAGCAGTGCCTCCCAGGAGTACTGCTACACCTCACCCAAGCTTACCAGGCATAGAAAGATAGCGATAACACAGGGCAGGTAGGAACTCGCATATAAGGCACTAGTTTGCAGGATGAAGCCAGACGGTCCTCCTGTTTGAAAATCTTATCTTTCCAGACACCCACTACTGGAGTTGTGTTCTCCTGTGTTTGTTGCCAACTCCTTCCAGAGCTTCGAATCAGAGAGCAGAATCAAGATCATCACAGGCCCAAACTCATCTGGCAAGAGCATCTTCCTCAAACAGGTAGAAGAACGTATCCATAATATTTAATTCAAACCAGGGTTACTCCTTTCCTGTTTGTCTGCTGTTAGTTTCTGTAAATGGCTGAATACAGTTCTAAATCAGTTCCCTTTAATCCTATAATTTACGTAATTGGTGAACATTTAGCGCCAGCTTCACAGTTTTATTACCTGTTTTCTATTCCTTAGGTGGGTCTGATTGTGTTCATGGCTCTGATTGGCTCCAACGTGCCGGCTAAAGAGGCAGAGATTGGTCTGGTGGATGGGATCTTCACTCGCATGCAGAGCAGAGAGTCCATTTCTGTGGGGCTCAGCAGCTTCATGGTTGATCTCAACCAGGTACGTCACACTCATTTTTAACTATAAACATGAGAGAGTCTGTGTGTGGGTGTGTGAATTTAAACACTTGCGTCCTCTTTACTCCCACACGCCACATGTTACATGTTTCTTAATGCCTTGGATGTTCTTTCTACTGCTAGAGCAAAGACAAACAATGAAAGAAGAAAGAGAAACAACAGTTTTCCTTTCATAATGTGTTGCTCTTTTCCCCAGATGGCCCTGGCTCTGAATAGCAGCTCTGGGAACTCATTAGTACTCATTGATGAGTTTGGAAAGGGCACCAACACAGTAAGAGGGGATTCTTCCTGCATTTTACCAGAAAAGGACTATTTTAAATATTACAGGTTTATTTTCAGTAGAAAACAAAAGCTGTATAATTTCAATGGGTACAGGCAAAGGCGTAAATGAATGAAAGGCAGGCAAGTAGCAGAAAAAGATTTAGAACATGCGTGAAAGTTATTATTTATTTCATGTCAATGAACATCCTAATAAGAAAATTCATTTATGCATGACCGGCTAGTTTTTTAAGGTTGAAACAAGGCAGCCTACTTTGAATTGAAGACTTCAAAGGAGGATGCTTTGGATGTTTTTATCATAAAAATAGTTCCTAAACCTAGCCCTATTAGTATGTGATTTTTTTCTGCTATCCCGACATTAAGTGCAGCTAGCAAAAGATACTTTTCATCTGCAGGGATTGTGATTCACCAAACAAGAAATATAAAAACTGTGAACCTTATTATTTTATGGTCCACAGTTACGTGAAAGCAAGGCTCCAATATCAGTTGGTTAACATCCTGGTTAATTAAATAAACACATCAACATTAGAATAATTTTTTTGGAGCCCAAGATAAATGCTCCCTCATTGGGGAGAACAGTTAGCCCCGATATGTGGGCATTGGGAAATGTGTTTGTAGCTCTCTTGTTGAAGCTACAGAATAAAAACACCTCATGACTAAAAGCATTTAATGAAAATGAGCAGCTATGAGTTTCCATTGTGATCACGGGTCAGGTCCAGAGGGCCCTGAAGAAGAGTTTGATTGCTGTATTACAAAAAACAATTTTTCCTTTAATTTCTGAGAAGTTTAAACATAATTTTAATAATACGCCTTTTAACGAATTTTAAATAAAATAGCTACATTGCAGTTTATTTGCAAGTTTAATAAATGTTTTACATTTTAAAAGTTAAATATTTTTAACTAGAGTTAATGTTATAAACATTAAAGATGTAAAGTAAGTGCGTAGTGAAAAAGTAAGTAATTTTTTTTCTAAAAATCCATAAGGGTTTTATCACAGCTTGTTCTTTCTGCTGCAGTAAAAGGAAACATGGCTAAACTCAGCCTGCAGGGGGCACCAGTGAATGGAGGGCCTCTGTATAATGTTTGACAGGACAAAACATTGTATTAGTCTGTATATTAGGTTAAACAGGCTACAGTTAAGATATGGAAGATATTTGATTCCTGCAAACTTATTGGCAGGAAGATTCAGTTAACAGACAGCAGTTCAATAAACAGACTGTCTGCAGTTTGTGTGAAATGCTTTGGTTGATTTACAACAGAATCTTTTCCGACACTAACTTGTTGTCTTTCTTCACCTTAACATAATTTTCTCCTGCAGGCTGATGGGCTGTCTTTACTCGCTGCATCAGTCTCATTTTGGCTGCAAAAGTCTGCGGTGGATGTTCCACACATCCTGTTGGCTACAAACTTTCACAGTTTGATGCAATTAGGCCTCCTTCCAACTACTGGAATGCTTTCCTTCCTGGTAGGGAGAAACACCAACCAAGCACAAACAAATAAAGAGGATTTTCTGTTGTAAAATTGTACTAAGATTGTAGTAATTGTGACAAGAGAAACATCCATCTGACCCGTTAAAGAATAAACCCCAATTTAGTCTCTGCATGTCTGTTTTTAGACTTTGGAAACAGCAGTGGACAGAGATGAGTTGGTGTTTTTGTACCAGCTGAAGGAAGGGATCTGTCAGTCCAGTTACGCTGCCAACATCGCAGCACTGGCAGGCCTGCCAACATGCCTTGTACACCGAGCTATGGAGGTCATTCAAGACAAACACACACAGCCTCACACAGAGAGTCACAGATTCATGCTCACAAAGTGATTGTGTTTTCTATTTAAGGTGTCTGAACATTACAGGACAGGAAAACCCATCAAACACATTGACCAAGAATCGTCAGGGGACCGGGACAAGAGGTGTGTTAAACTCTGCTTCATGTAAAATGAGTAAATAAACTTTATTTGAGACACAAAAAAATGCATATTTGATCAACAGATGCCAGTCTGTGGTGGAGAAGTTCTTGAGTCTTGAACTGGAGGACAAAGATGTGGATCTGCAGAGTTTCATGAAAGATGAACTACTGCCCTCTGCTGGAGAGCTGCTGAAGCGCAGCTAAACTCTTCAACTGTTGCAAACATTTTTTCATTCCTCAGTGAGATACTCTTTAACTTATATGGTTTAAATAGTAAGAAATTTAAATGAAATTTAAGTAGCGTGCGCATGTCCTAGTTTCAGTGTTAATAAAAACACAATTACTTGATTACGGTATAAATGTACATTGTTTGTGTGTTACAAATATCTAGTGTTTATTTATCCCTTAGTACAAACATTTTGCAGATCTTGCAAACATGGCAGTTTTTTCCTGCCTGAGGTAACTTCAGCATAACTTCAACCATTTTTTACAACACATATGAAAAAAAATTTATTTTATTTTTTTGTTGCTTTTTTATCAGACCAAGTCTTTAGTGGTGTAACGAGTGGTTAAAACAGCCAAAGTCAGATAAAAAAGGGTGCCAATGGGTATTTTTTGTGCAGAGTTGCAGAAAGGGGTGTCACAGCAGGACTTGGTCATGACAAAGATGTTATTATTAAAAAAAAGCTCCAGCGTCGTCTCCACGTTACACTCCTCGGCCTTCGCACAGCCCAGTGTCTTTATATCCAGGGAATCGGCTGAGGAGAAGAGGTAAAACGCAGCCAGTTTAATCGGCAAATGATTTACGTATTATTAGTGTAACAGTTAACAACTAACCCCACTAGATGAATAACAGACCTGCCTTCCCTCTGCCCGTGTAGCAGAGCTCCCCTCGGCTGCAGTTGGTTTCTGTCGTATAGCATGCATCCCAGAAGCCCAGATCACAGCGGAAACACTCCAGGTACTCTTCTTCTTGCTCCTGTCCCTCCAAATCCATCATCTGCTCCTCTTCTTCACCTGAACACAAAGAGTTGCAATTAAGATTTGAGTACAATCAAATCAAAGAAATGTATTAATTTAAAACTTTTGGAAGACAGAGATAAATGTCAATATGACCACTAGAAACTTAATTCACAGAAATTACTGCACTCTCTTTGAACTGTTTTCCCTATCTAGATGACAATAGAAAAAGGACTTTCAAACTTTTTCTACTTTACTTCACAGATACAGTAGTTTTTACATAAAGATATACTTAAATGACAATCACTATCCTGTATTTGTTACATCGTGCCCTTAATATTAACCCAACAGTGCTTGAATGAATGCAACAGTGAATGAATGCACGTCTATGCTCTTTCAAAACTTCTACAAGCTGCATATTTTTTTGGAATTCAGATAACCTCAAATTCAGGTCAAACAGATATGCTGTTCTTAAACTGTGGCTAATTAAAAAGCCAAATAGCGCACCAAAAATGCTATTTTGAGGAGTTTTTACAAATACAATAAAAGTAAGCAACTATATAAAATGTGCTTTAAAATATTTGCATTAATGTCTGGATATTGCTGTATTGTTAATCCAGCTGCGGAACAAAACGGTGAAACCAGCCTGGTCTACACTCCATAAATATCGTGTTGTTTCAGAATTATTGAAACAGACAAATAGGTGGACTAGTTAAGCATTTAATGGTGGGTTTTTTGTATTAAATTGTTCCGAATCTCGGAGAAACTGATGGCGAACCTGTCGAACAAATAAAAATAAAAGATTAAACGGATTCCTCATTAATAGATAATACAATTCATTAATATTTTATCAATCCCTAAGGAAAATTCTGTCCAGTTATACACAAAAAGAAAATAGTTTACATTTGTTGACCTGTTGCAGCAGTAAGCTTTCACCTTAGTGGTGCATGGTTGTTAGGGGGCATAAAACCAAACTGGAGCATAATGCAACACATTCTGTCTAGCCCTTAAACATCTCAGAAATGTTTTGTTTATCCTGCTGCTGTCTGGAACATGTTTCTTTAAGTGGATCCATTACCCTAGTTGGTCAAGATTTTTTTCAAGCAAGAAGGTAGAGGAATAAATAGATGGCATAAACAGAAAGTTCTGTAATATGCCAGGGTATAAACAAGCCTTGCTTTCAGTTTGCTATATTAAAAGGTTGTGTTTATTTTTTATTTTTTTTGTTTAATTTAAATATATTAAAACAACATTGTGCTAATTTCCCTTGTTTACTCTCTCCAGTAATGCATTTAGTGGACAGCCATTATTACACAGGTAGTTTTAGATTTAGCTAATCTCTCCCTGAGGGCCATCAGATGTTTGAGCTGTGCTGTGTTTCAGGGAGACTCACAATCCTTATCTACTTTGATCTTGTTAGTGTTAGCTCAGTTAAACCAGCAGACCAAAGAGAAATGGCTCAGTTTATCAGGAGGAAAAGGACAGTTTTATTTGATCTCCTGCTCTGTCTAAATTTATTTGTCATGGCGTTTGTTTTTTATTTCTCCTATTCGACCGTTAAACAGCAGACCAGCAGTAATCTCTTTGGTAATAAGACGTTTAAATGTCGAGATGATGATGCATCTACATGACAAATCCATGTTTATTCATAAGAAATGTGTTGTCCACAATTTTTAAATAAAACCAGCTCATACCCAGATTCTTACATTTTGATGAAAAATTAAAAGGAAGGATTTCATAATGAAATCTTCAAGCAACTATATTGATGGGCAGAATTTCTGAGGATGATTATTTTCAGATTTTCTACCTTTATTATACATTTAATATATTTGCGATCTGCAGTTATTGCACTAAACAGACAATCAAAATCACTTATCTGAATTTTTGGTATATGTCTTGCTTTGCTGGTGTTTTATTAATTATAATATTATGCCTGGTATTATTATAATATAATATAAAAACAAATGTTGGTTATTCTGCAAACTTCTCATTGATTCCTATTTGATACAGTTAGTCCAGAGGTTACATGTGCAGCCTTCAGAAAAGTCATTTCATTTACACTTCCAGTTGCTATTGAATCACTCCAGGCTATTTTAATGGCTCACACAGAACAAGCAGTTGGATTTAATACCTCTCAGACCACTAGAACCTGCATTGATGTGGAAAACGCTCCTATGTCACAACACCCATGACCCTGTAAGCGCAGCAGAAACACCTTCAGACCTTTGAAAAAAAGCCATCTTACCTTTAGCAGGTGAGAGCATCACAATGGCAAAAACCCAGAATATTATTCCTTTCATTCTGAGCAGGTATCTCCCTTTGAGTGTAGCATGAATACTCACCGCCTAACTGGAAGCTGGAAAGAAATTGGATTAGCTAAGCAATGCACCTGGCATTTCTTTACGTCCAATCATAGCTGCTGTAAGGCTGTCCATCATTGAAGTTTTGACATCTTCTACAGTGGAAACAAAATAAAACTCACAGAGAACGTAAAAAATAATGCTTCCTTTAATAAAATGCAGTTTAGTTTATTGGCAGTTTGAATAATGGGTAAAATGTCAATGTCAGACTTAAAGAGCTGACAGGTATTGCTTCAGTGGGAAAATAAATACCTTCTCTCAAGCACACACCTTTGTGTATTAGTGCTTTCAACTTTCCATCACTCCTTAGCAAAATTCCTTTTTCTGGTAACACAGATGATCTCTATTAGGGGAATAAACACAGAAAATTCCCAGCTGGTTGGGTCTCAATAAAAAATGTTGATTGAAGCTTCCCTCTTATAAGGAGCAGAGAAATTGCTTGAGTACTGAGTCAGCGCAGGGCTAAGCAGCTTACTGCTTCCTTTCTGTCTGCTCAGATATGTATCAATGCGCTCACACGAGCACAATACTCTCTGAGTAAAGGATTTGATTCACTTGTACTGTCAATGCAGCATAAAACCTGCACTGCTGACTTATGTAACGCCGCTGCACAACATCAACACCAATCTACACTTGGGGAGATTTCTCAATTTGTGTAGCGGCAGTCACTTCTGCGTGCGTTTAGATATGCGCTGACATTATTCTCTCAGCTCGGTTTACTGTCACACACCGATTTTATAAATAAATAATCACTGACTGCAGCCTCACAGCCTCATTCTCACTGAATTCAAATGCATTTGATCATCTCACACTGAGCGGGACTCCCCTAAAGTGTGAGAGTGAAGAGTGGGCAGATCTTTTTCTTTTTTTCCTCTATTTTTTCACCAGAGATGTTGACAGCTTAAGTCAAGTTTTTTTCTTTCTTTTTTTACACACTGCAACTGAAATATATATCCTGCATCTAACAGCATTCAGCTCCAGGCCAGACTGAATCTGTTGTCAGGAGCATTAAGAGGTATGGGTTCAGATTACTATAAACTCCAGTCTCACTCATCATCCAGAGCTTAGCATGGGCCCCAACCTGCAAGGAAATACTTAGCAGTCCTAAACTACTCATAAAATGTTTTAAACTCTCCTGCGCAGACACTAGAGAAAAAAAAAAGGCTGAGGATAAAAAAAACAATCCAACCCATTTTCCGGCACCATCTGTGCTTATGGACTAAATTTGGGCTTAAAGGGATTGATCAGGATTTTTTGATGGGGGTTCTGTTAAAAGAATGTAAGCAGTTAATAATCTACCTACAATGGATAACTCACTTTGCGTCCGTGTTTTGTAATAATCCAGATTAGCTCGTCTTAAATGTTAAACTTGTCTGAAAATGGCCAGGACCGAAGAAGACGTCCACCAACCTTAAAATTTAACATTTCTGAAATCTAACATCTGGTAATGTGAATGCTATTGTATATCATTTAAATTCAACGTAATAGAACAAATAAGTTTAATAGAATCGAGCTAAATTTGGGAGAAAAAAAATACATTTTTGGACAAGAGGAATAGAGAAGTTTGTTGGATGCGGTAGGGCTGGACGATATGGATCAAATATTTATCTGAATTGGGATAAGCAATATTTATCATCATAGAATTTTTCTTTTTATGAAGTAGTTAAATAAGGGCAAATCTGAAACAGCCTGGCCAACCAGAATAAGTTACACAGGGTGTAATTCAGTCTGGTAAGGCTCATAGTGTCCAGTCTAAAACCAATAGGACCAATCACAGCATGGGTGGCAGGCCAATATTTTATTAATTTATTAAGTCCCAAAACATCTGTTTATATCATTAATATTTTAACAACAGGCTGCTGTAGAGAGCTTTTCTTTAGATCAGGATGACTTTGGGCAGATTTGTCTGGACGGTTAGACTACGGAGCTTTGTCCTAAATGTCACACAGGCATATTTTCTAAAAAATGGCTGTAGATAAACACAAGATCATGCCTGAAATAGCTGGAAAAATAACCTACTGGCATTTTTTAAAAGTATAATTATATTACAGAGTAGATAATTTCAATATAAACGATTTAGACTTATATCTCTTTAGAAATGAATTCTAAAGATTTTTAAAAATCTCTATATATCGCCCAGCCTTAGGTTGCGGCAGTGATGTATTCTTAAATACCAAAACAGCTTTTGGTGAGAGCATTGCTCTTTGCTAATATTGCTTTTAACGTCATCAGAGAATGGTATCATGATTTTATTCTGCAACCTTTGGCACCAAATCTGTCCTCCAAGATGGCCGATCTGCCCCAGAAACAAGGCTTATCAGATTCCTCCATTTGAAAGAGAGAATAGACTTTGGTGCAAAGAAATAGTTAAAAACAAATACCCTTACATTGTTCTAAATGTACATTCATTTTCTATCAAATTGTTACATTGAATAGAAAGTCCTGTTCTGTTCTAAGCTCTTACTTTAAAGGGAACATTACTAGAAGGTCATCAACTCTGAGCTCCGTTTCACCTGTAGCTAATCATCGTCACTTGTGGAAGTAAAACAATCAAAAAGTGGATATAATATTTTTTACATAAAGCCCTAAATTGGTGTTCAGATTGTTTACTGGAAAACCTATATTATTAACAATTGAAATGTAGCTCAGAGGAGGTGCCCCGTCAATAATCTTCCCTGTGAAACAGAAGCTGAGAACAAATATCAGGAAGTCCAGCTGTTCTGATATCTGATAGAAAAATTAATCTTGACTAAAAATCAATAACGAATATGATTTTATTTACTTTCTCTGACCATCTGTGGCTTCAACTGTCCAAATAATCTGGAGTAAAGCTAAATAAAGTTGCCGTAAGAGATAAGATTTCAACTACTTATAACCTGAACAGAACAATTCAGCAATCCTCTCCTTAATTGTTCTTTCCTGTGCTTTATCTGTTCCTTTCTTGGTTGTGCGTAATCCAAGAAACGAGATGTTGTAATGAAGATTTGAATAAAGCGTTAGAAACAAGGGGATGAAGAGACGGGAGATGAGAGGTCGAGATGGTGGGAGAGTGAGGCATCACTTACTCAAACTGACAGGAGTGATTTTCTCAGTTACGTCAAGAATAACTCAGCAGCTTCACCAGAATTTGTTTTTTTTCTGTTAATGCTGTTACTCGTTTCTGTTCATCCACTTACATATTCTTTCAGATCTTGCATTGCAGCCCTCAAGGAAAGGGAAAATTTGAGCAGCTGAATGTTGAAATCCAAAGAAACTGTCATAATTTGCTGTAAGAAATCCAGAATTTTAGCTATAGAGCACCAGCTGGTATTAATAGCATGGCTGTAGGTGTCGAGTGAGAGGAGTGTGGCCTTATGTCCTGCTGTTGTTCACGCCGAAACACAAATTTCACTGAGATAAAGAGAAGATTACACTGCATGTGAGATAAGACAAAGACTCACTCAAGACCTAATCTGGATTATCCTCTTAAGTGAACCTCTTAAGAAAGAAAAGGTCCACCTCTGGGGAGAGGAAGCATTTATCACCCAGGTTGGCACTAAAATAACTTCTCCAGCACCCAACCACCACCAGGTCAGAATCTGGTACCTCCGGAAGTGGCTTAATGGAGCTTGGAAATAACAAGATGATAAGTTGACAAACAAAGCAGCTTCAGTTTTTTATATGTGGGTGAGTTGGTGAGCAATGCAGGACAAAAACACCCCTCCCAGACCGTGACTCAGTGTGCCACACAGAGGCACTAAAACACAGGAATGTTTCAGCAGTGCATAGTCCTGTGCAGCTCTGTCAGGGCGTCAGTCTTTGGGCAGCTCTGACTCTGTCCGTTCATTAAGGTTTATCTCACACGAGTTGCACGAGTCCAAGTGAACTGAGTCATGGGAGTCGGACAGGCAAGGGGAAGATGGGTGGGGGACCGGTTCCTGGTGGTGGAGAGCTTTGGTGACAATTGTGAGCAGTATCTTCTTCCCCTTCTTCTCCTCTTCCTCTTTAATTTCTCCCTCTATATCTTTGCCTCCTGCATCAGGAGGAGCTGGCAGGGAGTTAGGGCTGTTGGGGCGAGGAAGAAGGGGGCTCTGGGTGGAGTGGGGCAGTTGGTGGACAGGGCTGGCCCACTCCAACTGCTCCTCATCTGTATTCTCCCACTGCTCCTGAGTATCCTCCCTGCTGCTGCTCTTCCTCAGATCCTCCATGTCATCAGAACTGTCACAAGGAGGATTCTCCTTGTCCCGGTTCTCGAACAGCAGCGAGGCCGCGCAGATAAAGATGAAGAGGCCAACCCCCATGACCACTGGCCCAGCCAGCTTCATCCTATCAGCATGGGTGTCCCTCCTTTCACCCACAGCTGGCTTAGGCGGCGCAGAGACATACCCCGCCACAGCCACGCTCATCCCCAATAGCACCACCATTCCACCCAGCAGGAGCCACACACCTGGAGGGGAGTCCAGGCGCAGCTTGTTCTGGAGGGCTTCACCTTTTCTCAGGTGTTTGTAGCAGGCTGAGAAGCAGATGGATGAGGAGTGGGAGGAGGCTGGGCTGCAGGGCGGACTGGCAGCGGTCATCCTCAGACTAAACACAAAGAAGAAAAAAAACATGAAAACAGTGAATGCAGCATCTTTAAGTGAGCGCATGGGTGGAGGGGAGAGAGTTTACCCTGCAATGCACACAACAGGAAATAGCTGTTTTAATAAGACATGTGGCTGAGTTAATGAGATGCCAACCTCTCTGCAGTTCCTCCCTGTGGAGCTAAACAGCCTCCTCAGTCAGTCTGAACCCGAAGCCCCCTGTTATTGGACCACTCCATCAGTTCACCACCTCACTGCGGTCATTAGAGGGGGGTCTGTGGAGGTCCTCTGAACTAAACTCATCATTAATTTGCCCCGAAGAGGAGTTGACTCAGGGGGCGAATCTAAAACGCTCGTCTTTCAAGTTAGAAGTGTTTTTACGCATGCATCGTTTAGCCTTCATTTTAATCCATCCGCGCGCTGTTGCTCACCAAAATAATGCATTTAATGTGTGTGCAGTGAGAGCGGGTACTTGCCTTTATTTGGTTGTAAATGTGAAGCAGAAACCGGCTTCTTTATCAGAATATATAATCCCGAGTTGCGTTATTCCTCCCACTCCTCCACTTTTGATCCGCGGCTAATCCTCTCCTTCCCATTTTCTTTTAAGATCTGGACCTTTTTTGGGTTTTTTTTTAATCGTCCTCGCAGCACAGTGTGAGTCAGTACAATGCGCAACAGCGGAGCCTGAAATGTAGCTTTTCTAGTAAATGAAGGGAAAAGTGGTGCAGCGCTGCTCTGCCTCTGTGCGTCTCTGCAGCCTCCTCTTCAGTGTGCGTGGAGAGGAGGGGTCGTGGGAATCTGAAGCTGGTCTTGTCCAGTCCCACGGTGGGCTCACTATTTATTCTCCAGGCAGTGCTGCTCTAAAGTTGCAGAAAGTGCAGCTCTGTTTTTGTTTTGTTTTTTGTTTTCCGTCCAGCATTTTTCCAACTCAGAAAACATTAAAATGATTGCAGACCATCCTCCCTGCAGATACTGGCTGGCAACTTCACTACCCCAGTTTATTACCCTTAGCAAAAAATAGTTTATTCAAGTCTACTAAAAGTGCACTAATTTCATACTTAAAATCAGGCAGTGCATTTAGAGTTTACTTATTGTAAACTATATTTCATATACTATAACATAACAGTAGTATAGTTAAGTGTACCTGACTGTACTATTGTTTACTTTATTGTTTACTAAAGTATACTTTAAGTGTACTTTAGTAAGCTTAAAAATGTCCCAATTTAGTTTGAAGAATTATTACTTTAGTAATACTTCAAGTACACTAAAAGTACATTGTTTGGTATACTTTCTAAACTTATACTTAAGTATTCTTAATAGAATTTACTTCAAGTATACTACTTTTTGTTAAGGGACCAAGACAAAAGTATAATAAGATGTTCCAAAAGGGTTCAGGTTTAACTTTTTTTTTCCGTCCCAATTTAAGTTTTATTGTGGTATGTTTTTGAAAAAGCAAACGCAATTAGGCTCTAAAACGAGAATACATGTCCAACATAAATTGGTTCCAGTGTTTGAAGTTGATCGAGCTTGATTAACTCATTTTATAAGTTGCCAAATTTATATATATAACTTTTTATCAAATGAAGCAATTCTGTCAAGTTGGAGCTGCATTTTCTTCATTTTCATTTTAGTTTGGCAGGAAAATCATGCATATTATATATATATATATAGGTATATATATATATATATATATATANTTGATGTTATGCACCTGCTCTATCTTAGTTCCTTCTTTCAAATTATCATGCATATTAATAAAGTGTATATATATATATATATATATATATATATATATATATATATATATAAAATCTGAAAAGCTGCAAATCTCTTGTGATCTCAATGGAGTCCTCTGGACTTCTCTTGACAAAAAAACCCAACAACTTTTCAAGCAATTTTGATAATAAACTGAAGGTGAATGGTTTCTCTGCAGCTGATTCAGATGATTGCAGTTCAGCTATCACTGGAAATCAGCTGAGCTGAAGCAGGAAAACCTCTAAAACTTGCAGGACAGCGAGGGCTGATTTTGGGCAGGCGTGAACCTGGATCAGCTTTAAATATATATGTGTTTGAACTGATATCTTCTTTTGAATCCCTTTTCAATGTCTTCAAGTGTTTCCACAGATTACATAGATTGATATGCTTTGATGCAGACCAATATTTTGCAGGCCTGTCTGTATATTTTGAGGTTGTTGGCCTCCTTGAAGTCGAACCTCCCAGTTTTTGCAGGCTCTAACAGATTTTGTGAAAATTTGTCACCCTTTAACCCAGGCATCCCCAAAGTCAGTCCTGGAGGCCCGCTGTTCTGCAGGTTTCAGATGTTTCTCTGCTCCAGCACAGCTAGTTTTAATTGAAAGCTGATTAACAGGCTTTTGCTCAACTGCAATCATCAGAATCAGCTGTGCTAAAGCAGGGAAACCTCTAAAACCTGCAGGACAGCGGCCCTCGAGGACCGACTTTGGAGATGCCTGCTTTAGCCCATCAGGTCTAACCGTGCTTCTCTCTGCCTGCTGGACAGCATGATGCTGCCACCACCCTGTTTCACAGAGAGCAATGTTTTTGTCAGGGTTATAAACTGGTGAGTAGGGTTGACACGATATATTAAAGTCAATATCGACATCCTGGAAAATATTAAATACTTGATACTATTAGGATAAAAAAAATAGGCATGATTACAGGCATGAAAAACACATGTGTAACTTAGAGAAACTCCCCCTTTTCAATCTCACCACAGAACATACTTTCTTAACAGAATCATAGATGCTATATAAATGTGTAAAATAAATAACCCAGAAATATTCAATTATCAATAACAAAAATATCTAACCAACACATTCCTACAATAAATATCATATATGGACAAAGTGTTTAAGTTTTGAATACTTTTGACAACCCTACTAGTAACAGTTAAAGGATTCTTTCATCGGTGGCTTTCTTCTTGCTGCTCTTACAGAAAGACATTTCTTCTCTGTCACAGCCTCTTTAGTCTGATGAGCACTTTTCAGTAGGTTTGCAGGTGAGTCTTCCTATAATCAGACGATGGATCGGGCATCGCTTCATGAGATGTTAAAGCTCAGGATTATGCTCTATAACCTAGACTTCTCCACAAGCTCGTCTTTGACCTGTAGGCTGTGTTCCTTGATTTTCACAAGGAGTTTTGTTCTGGAACGTCTCAGCTGTATTTAAACCAAGATCCTAAAAAAGAAAAAGGTTTGTTGCTGCAAAATGTGAAAAGGTTGAACCGAGATGAACACCTTTGCCTACACTGTCACATAGTTCAAGCACAACTAAGAACGTTGTGGTGTTTACATAAAACTGGATCGAATTTTGTTTAGTTTACCTCAAATGTGGGCCACATGTTACCCCACAACCCCCCACCCTCTCAACGTGTGTCACAAAAGCAGATGTCAAGCCAACAGACATAGCAAATGCAACACAGGGCAACTTGTTTTTACAGAAAGGTAGTTTAATGAGTCTCATTTCGCTGCATGTGGGCTGGATGTAGCCCACACAGAATGTTATTGGTTTGAGGGGGACTTTCCATGTGGGCCACATGTGGGCGACACACATAGCGGTTCTGGTTGGAGTTAAAAGTGGGACCCAGCTGCAGCACGTGCTTAGGAGCGATTACAGAAATTTTAGGCCACATTTAGAGGACTTACAAGTGACATGGTTTAAGGTGGTTTAATGTTACAGTAGTTATGCTAACTGACTAAACAGTTTGATCTTCAATGGAAACATGTTTATAAAGTCCTTAACTCATTTGAAACAGTGGAAAAAGTTTTCAAGTCTGGATTAAAAAAAAATGCATATTTACACACACATCTTCAAAACATACATTTCATGAAAAAGTAAAATAGTTTTTGTCTCTTATTTCTGAAAGTGAAAATTAGACAAATTTTTTACAAATTAAGGGAAGTATTTCAAGTATTCTTGTAATTTGGAAGACTATGATGCATAATGCTAACCTCAAAATCTGTGTCACGAAATTTCAATTCTGTAAAATCAAATATAGAAAACGTGGTGTTCCTAATTATTTGATAAAATCTAAACTCCTGCAAATGTTTCCTGAGCCACTAAATGGTCTCTTAGTCCGGGTCAGCAGGGTACATAATAGCACAGAGAAGACTGTACAGATGTCCAAAAGATAGTCATCAGTACCCTCCGCAAGGAGAGTAAGCTAAAAGAGGTCATTGTTAAAGAAGCTTGATGTTCACAAAGTTCTGTATCCAGAAATATTTATTTAAAGTTCAGTGAAAGGACGACATTGGTTTGGAAAATGTGCATCAGCAACAAGGACTATTGCACCCTTCAGAGCATTTTCAAGCTTGATCCATTCAAGTATTTTTGGCTACATTCAAGGCTGTGGTTATCCCTGTTGTTGGTCACCAGTGTTTCATTCCACTTAACTTTCAATGAATGTTAGAGTGTGGCATAATAGGCTTCCAATATTTAAAGTTCTGCCTCCCTGTCTTTGCGGAGCTAGCAACTAGGTCCAACAATTTACTACCAGGGAGTACAGTGAGCAGTCCTAATTCCTGCCTTCAAAAAGGCCAAGCTTAGCTCCGGTGAAGCATCCAAATATCTTTCAGATCTGACCCTCCTGATGGGAGTTGTGATCACTTCCTGTTCTGTCTAGGAATGTCTTTAAATAAGCATGCCCATGTGTTAAAATGCGGTACTATAGGAAGCACACAGCATTTGCAGTAATGTAGATGAGACATTAGGGACATATGTCTGCTTATACATTCTAGTGGTGCAGGTGAGTCTTTACACAATGTTATCAGTGTACAGTTTTGTTGCTTACAAAGATCATTCGTATCAGTTTAAAGCAAATCTAACCATGCATTCTTGATTTGGAGCAAACTGTGTGCAAAAAGCATGACGAGCTTTGGCTGAGCAAAAATATTTTACATTTCTTGGTATTCCATCACTACATGCAGTCATTTTGAAGTCTGCAAGTCAAAAGCTCTAAGTAGAATTTTCTCAGATAAAAGACAAAATGGGGATGCACAATAGAGCAGTGGGTAGCGGCCTGGGGTTTTGCCTTATGGGGTTTGTATGTTCTCCCTATGCATGCATGGGTTCTCTCCGGGTACTTTGGCTTAGTTTTACAGTCCAAAAAGAGGACTATTAGGTTAACTGGCTTCTCTAAATTCTCCTTAGGTGTGTGTGTGCATGGTTGTATGTCTTTGTGTATCTTTGTGTTTCCCTGCGACCTGTACAGGATATACCCAGCCCCTCGCCCACAGACTGTCGCAGATAGGCACTGGCCTCACTGCGACCCTGATAAGTAGGATGGTTGGATCCAAAATGGCTTCCTGTTGGGTTTGGGACCCTGGTTCAAAGAGACTTTTTTGTACAACCCTCCAAATTACTTATATGCCCTGCTTGGGACAGATTGTTTTCATGTGAATCCATCATGTTAATTTTGATCAGATCTGATCAGATATGTAGAAATGCGAGCCAAACACATGTCCAAAAGCATTAGTATTGGTATTAAAATGACAGCAACTTCTGTGAGGTCAGTGATTGATTCTCTCTCTCTTCTCTGCAGGGTGTGACAGGCAGGTATGGTTAATCTTGATTAATTAGGAGCCTACTTAAGGAGCTGGGACCAGGGGGAGGGCGTCAGTTCTTTCTCGCTACCAGCGTGGTATATTACCAACCAACTTTGCTCCTAGATATTTCTGAGCCAGCTCTAATTCCGTGTCTCTGTCTTTTCCCTCCTAGTTCACCATCCAAGCCAACAGAACATCCAAGCCT